TTTTACTGGAATCCTTCTTCTCCCACTTGTCATTTATACATTGATTTATGATCTAATTTACTTTTCCCCTTCTCTCATTTTTGAGTGTTGCATTCTTTTCTTCATTAGAACTGTAAGATTTGGGCCGGCGCCGCGGCTCACTAGGCTAATCCTCCGCCTAGCGGCGCCGGCACACCGGGTTCTAGTCCCGGTCGGGGCTCCGGATTCTGTCCCGGTTGCCCCTCTTCCAGGCCAGCCCTCTGCTGTGGCCAGGGAGTGCAGTGGAGGATGGCCCAGGTGCTTGGGCCCTGCACCCCATGGGAGACCAGGAAAAGCACCTGGCTCCTGGCTCCTGCCATCAGATCAGCGCGGTGTGCCGGCCGCAGCGCGCCGGCCGCGGCGGCCATTGGAGGGTGAACCAACGGCAAAAGGAAGACCTTTCTCTCTGTCTCTCTCTCTCACTGTCCACTCTGCCTGTCAAAAAAAAAAAAAAAAAAGAACTGTAAGATTTGTACACTCTTCTTATACTCATATCCTCTCCTTTGTTTTAGTTTCAGCTGTAATTAAACATATTAACTGCTCTCCATTTAGTATTTTTTGTGATTTTAAAAAAATTTTATTTAAATTATATAAGTTTTATGTATTTCATATATACAGATTTAGGAACATAGTAGCACTTCTCACCCTACCCTCCCTCCTACCCACACTTCAACCCTTCTTCCTCCTCTTCCTCCTTCTATTTGCACTCTTAATTTTTACAAAGATCTAGGTTCAGTTTACTGAACTGTGATTAAATATATTTTTAACTGCTCTGCATTAAGACTTATGTTCTAGTTTATCTGGGGATCTTTTGGTTTGGAGGAAGATTAAGTAGATTCCTCAGAAACAGTTCAGGACAAAGTATTTCCTGCGTTTTTGCCTATTTCATACATTTTAAAATAGTCTTGGTGCTTGAAGGGTGGCTTGGTTTTATAAAAATCCTTTGCTTGATCTTTCTTGCTTTGAACTTCATGAAAACTCTGCCATATGTTTGCACTGCTTTGTGTGTTGGTCTTGAGAAATCTGATGCTAGTCTCATTTTGTTTTAAAGATTTTGTTTATTACTTGAGAGTCAGAGTTACAGACAGAGAGGAGAGACAGAGAAAGGTCTTCCAATTACTGGTTCACTCCCCAAATGGCCACAATAGCTGGAGCTGGGCAGATCTGAAGCCAGGAGCCAGGAGCTTCTTCTGGGTCTCCCATGTGGATGCTGGGGCTTAAGCCCTTAGGCCATCTTCCACTGCTTTCCCAGGCCATAGCAGAGACCGGATTGGAAGGGGAGCAGCCAGGATATGAACTGGCACCCATATGGGATGCCAGCGCTACAGGCAGAGGCTTAGCCGACTACGCCACAGAGCTGGCTGGGCTAGTCTCATTGGTTACCCTTATAATATATTTATAAAGTCAAATGATATTACAAGGATGCATCTTAGAATTAATCACTCTGAGTCAATTTTCCCAGAAACATAGTAAGTCCTATCAATATGTACCCTTTTCTCTTAATGTCTAAAATTTTATTGGATTGTGATTTTTAAATATTTGTGCTTTCCCATTGTTTTGTTTTTCTTCTTTAAAGGTTTCTTATTGGTTTATCTTCCAGTTCAACTACGTTTTTCTGACCCTGTATAGTTTTTTCCCTAATTTTCATCCTCTTTATGGGTTTATTTTCTTTCCAGTGGCCCATATTATTTCATTTAAATCCATGCTTTCTTGGGTACCTTGTAATTTATTTCTGATATGTTTTTATCTTTTTTTATTTTATTTATTTACTTGAGAGGCAGAGTTATAGACAAAGAAAGGGAGAGACATAGAGAAAGGTCTTCCATCCACTGGTTCACTCCCCAAATGGCTGCAATGGCCAGAGCTGGGCTGATCTGAAGCCAGGAGCCAGGAGCTTCTTCCAGGTCTCCCATGAGGCTTCAGGGGCCCAAGCACTTTGGCCATCTTCCACTGCTTTCTCAGGCCATACACAGAGAGCTGGATCAGAAGAGGAGCAGCCAGGACATGAACCAGTGCCCATATGGGATACTGGCAGCGTCACTGGAGAGAAGTCAGGGCTTCTTACCTTTGCTCAAGAAAGAATTCAGGTGTGAGCCAGAGAGCAAAGTAGCAAGGTTTTATTGGTGACAGGGCATCTGTCAGAATGGAAGGGACGGAGAGTTCCCAGTTATTCAGTCTGGGGGAAAGCATGGTTACTTGGCTGAGTGGAGAGAATACACCTGACAGGCCAGGCGGCAACTCAGCGGAGAACTGAGAAAGCCGAGTTCGCAGTCTTTGTTTAGACTTGGGCTTATAAGGGAAAAGGAGTCCAGGTTTCTCCTCCCCCTCCCCTCCCCCTCCCCCTCCTCCTCCTCCTCCCCCTCCTCCATAACAAAGGGTTTACTGAGTCTAAACTAGGAAATTCCTCCCCAGGTTTGCTGCCACTGGGCAGAGGAGCTTCTCCCTAGGGTGCCTGCCTTGGAGAAGAATGTGGAGGTTTTACTGCTCAGTGTTATCAGACCAGATAACCCATTTGGTGCTGAGGAGAGAGCTTTCCCATGGTGGGAAGGGCTGGGACCAGGGATCAGGGCCTGGGCAGGACTTTGAAGTATAGATGCTGGGCTGCTTGTGAAGGGGGCTTTGAGAATCTTCCATCCACCAGTCCAATCCCCAATGACCACAATGACCAGGGCTGAGCTAGATCAAAGCCAGGAGACAGGAACTCCATCCAGGTCTCCCACATGGGTGGCCAGGACCCAAGCACTTGGACTAATCCTCTACTACTTCCAGGCATATCAGTCAGAAGCAGGATCAAAAGTGGAGCTGCCAGACTGGAACCAGTGCTCAAATGCGATGCCAAGATCACAAGTGGTGGCCTAACTTTCTAAGCCACGATGCCAGTGACGTTGTAATTGGTGGGAAGTGAAGGAAAAGGATGGGTATGACTTGTGGTGGCCTTTGGTCATTCTGGTGTCTTTAATTTCCTCATTTACAACCTTCTTTCTCTTTACTGACATGTGTACAATGCGGACCTCTTCTTTGTCTCTTTACCCCTAAGAGCTCCTCTAAGGCAGCTACTCCTGGGCCTTTTCTTTCGGATCTCTGCTACAGTCATTGCTATGAATCACCATTTCCTTGTCCTGTGGTCAGAATTTTTGCACTTAGTACTGTATTTTCCCTCTCTCAGGATGATTTTGTCTGTGCTTTCTTTATGTTCCTCACTGTTTGCTCTTTTCTGGAGTCCTTTATGATTTTTTTTCACTCGCTGTCTGGCCCCATAGGTTATTTTTTTCAAGATTTATTTATTTATTTGAAAGGCAGAATTGATATCAGACTGCTTATTAATAATCCTCAATATTAATAAGCCTGTGGGCTCTTGCCATGTATTCAGAGAAAAATTCTGAATACTGGCTCAAATAGACCAGATAACATGGTAACTTTTTAAGCTTTTTATTCAGTGAGAGGAACGTGCAGGAGAATGGGGGCTTTATTTAGGGGAGAAAGAGAAGTCTAGAAGCTAAATTGGGTCCATACCAAGCAGAGAGCAAGCCAGCAGCAAGCCACGTGGAGCAAGCATGCAGGCAGGAAGGCAGAGAGCAGGCATCCCAAAGGCCATGTGCCCCGAAGGCGCAGGGCAACAAGGGCAACAAGGTGAACAAGGGAAACAAGGGCGAGCCTACCGTGTTCCAGGTCTTTTATCCACTTTCAAAGGGGAGTGATTACATAGTCTGATTGGCAGGTGGGTACTCAAGTGGGGTCAGGTAGGGGCGTGGGATCACTTAGGGGTGTGGTGAAGGCGTGGTCTTCCAGCTCACAAATCTAATTGATTTTATCCTGTGCCTGCCTACATCAGAATTACAGAGAGGCATAGAGAGAAGGTCTTCTATCCACTGATTCACTGCCCAGATGGCCACAATGGCCAGCGCTGGGCTGATCCGAAGCCAGGAGCCAGGAGCTTCTTCTGGGTCTCCCACATTGGTACAGGGGTTGGTCCAAGGACTTGGGCCATTTTCTGTTTTCCCAGGCCATAGCAGGGAGTTGGATCGGAAGTGGAACAGCCGGGACTAGAACTGGTGCCCATATGAGGTGCCAGCACTGCAGGCATTGGCTTTACCCGATTTGCCACAGTGCACCCCCCAACCCCCCATCTCCATAGGTTTTTAATGGTACCAAGAGTTACAGGAGAGTTCTATTGGAATTTGTAAAGTTTATGACAATCTCTCTCCCAGTAATGGTGTACATTTGTGTTTTATGGTTTCATTTGTACTCCTTTTTTTTTTTTTTAATTTTTTGACAGGCAGAGTGGACAGTGAGAGAGAGAGACAGAGAGAAAGGTCTTCCTTTGCCGTTGGTTCACCCTCCAATGGCCGCTGCGGCCGGAGCGCTGCGGCCGGCGCACCGCGCTGATCCGATGGCAGGAGCCAGGAGCCAGGTGCTTTTCCTGGTCTCCCATGGGGTGCAGGGCCCAAGCACTTGGGCCATCCTCCACTGCACTCCCTGGCCACAGCAGAGAGCTGGCCTGGAAGAGGGGCAACCGGGACAGAATCCGGCGCCCCAACCGGGACTAGAACCCGGTGTGCCGGCGCCGTTAGGCAGAGGATTAGCCTAGTGAGCCGTGGCGCTGGCCCTCATTTGTACTCCTTTTTTTTTTTTGATAACTTTGAGTAGAGATTCAGATTCAGTGTGGCTCCCACACTAGGACACTGAAACTCTTCTCCTTAGATGTTCAGTCTTTTAACAAATTGAACTCATGTGTTAGTACTGTGTATTTTTCTCCTCTGTCATGAGGCTTTCAATGATTTTATATTTAGTTATGTTCCAGTTTTAGTATGTCTCTGTTTATTGATAAACTTACTGAGTACAGGGAGGAGTTTCTTAGTAATATTTATCTCGTTACCTATAGTACCTGATACTTATATACTCATAAAATAATTATTGAATTAATATTTTATCTAGCTATGCACTTATTTTTCTTCTAAAATATTAAATTATTTACATTGTAGATGCTGAGAAAAACTCTGAAAGGGTCTGAGAGTGAAGAACTGGAAGTAACACCTGAAATACCAACTTTGGTGCCATTTGGGGATGTGGTATGAATCACTAATCCTCAGGGAACCCTCTACAAATGATTTATTTATTTTTTTTTAAGTTTTTTTTTATCTTTTATTTAATGAATATAAATTTCCAAAGTAAGACTCATGGGTTACAATGGCTTCCCCCCCCATACCGTCCCTCCCACCCACAACCCTCCCCTTTCCCACTCCCTCTCCCCTTCCATTCACATCAAGATTCATTTTCGATTATCTTAATATACAGAAGATCAGCTTAGTATACCTTAAGTAAGGATTTCAACAGTTTGCTCCCACACAGAAACATAAAGTGAAAAATAATAGATGATTTTTTTTAAATGATGATGAAATCAGATCAGACCTATTGTCATGTTTAATCCCAGTGAGAGTCAAGTTGGGAATTGATAATTTCTTTCTTTCTTTTTTTTTTTTTTTTTTTACAGAAGATCAGTTTAGTGTACATTAAGTAAAGATTTCAATCGTTTGCACCCCCATAGAAACACAAAGTGAAATATACTGTTTGAGTACTCGTTATAGCATTAAGCCTCAGTGTACGGCACATTAAGGACAGAGATCCTACATGAGGAGTAAGTGCACAGTGACTCCTGTTGTTGATTTTACAAATTGACACTCCTGTTTATGGCATCAGTAATCTCCCTATGCACCAGTCATGAGTTTCCAAGGCTATGGAAGCCCCTTGAGTTCTCCGACTCTTATCTTGTTTAGACACGGTCATAGTCAAAGTGGAGGTTCTCTCCTCCCTTCAGAGAAAGGCACCTCCCTCTTTGAAGACCTGTTCTTTCCACTGGGATCTCACTCACAGAGATCTTTTTCCCAGAGTGTCTTGGCTTTCCATGCCTGGAATACTCTCATGGGCTTTTCAGCCAGATCCGAGTGCCTTTAGGGCTGATTCTGAGGCCAGAGTGCTATTTAGGACATCCGCGATTCTATGAGTCTGCTGAGTATCTCACTTCCCATGTTGGATCACTCTCCCCTTTATTTATTCTATCGGTTAGTGTTAGCAAATACTAGACTTGTTTATGTGCTCCCTTTGACACTTAGTCCTTTCATTATGATCAATTGTGAACTGAAATTGATCACTTGGAATAGTGAGATGGCATTGGCACATGCCACCTTGATGGGATTGAATTGGAATCCCCTGGTATGTTTCCAACTCTACCAATTGGGGCAAGTCAGCCCGAGCATGTCCCAAATTATACATCTCTTCCCTCTCTTATTCCCACTCTTATGTTTAACAGGGATCACATTTCAGTTAATTTTCATCACTTAAGAATAACTGTGTGATAATTACAGAATTAAACCAGTCATATTAAGTAGAACAGACAAAAAAAAACTACTAAGAGGGATAATGTATTAAGTTGTCCATTAGCAGTCAGGGCTATGCTGATCAAGTCACCGTTTCCCATAGTGTCCATTCCACTTCAACAGGTTTCCTTTTTGGTGTTCAGTCAGTTGTCACCGATCAGGGAGAACATATGGTATTTGTCCCTTTGGGACTGGCTTACTTCACTCAGCATGATGTGTTCCAGATTCCTCCATTTTGTTGCAAATGACTGGATTTCGTTGTTTCTTACTGCGGTATAGTATTCTAAAGAATACATATCCCATAATTTCTTTATCCAGTCTACCATTGATGGGCATTTAGGTTGGTTCCAGGCCTGGCTATTGTGAATTGTGCTGCAATAAACATTAGGGTGCAGACCGCTTTTTTCTTTATCAATTTAAACTCCTTTGGGTAAATTCCAAGGAGTGGGATGGCTGGGTCGAACGGTAGGGTTATATTCAGGTTTCTGAGGAATCTCCAGACTGATTTCCATAGTGGCTTGACCAGTTTGCATTCCCACCAACAGTGGGTTAGTGTCCCTTTTTCCCCACATCCTCGCCAGCATCTGTTGTTGGTAGATTTCTGTGTGTAACCGGGGTGAGGTGAAACCTCATTGTGCTTTTGATTTGCATTTCCCTGATTGCTAGTGACCTTGAACATTTTTTCATGTGCCTGTTGGCCATTTGGATTTCCTCTTTTGAAAAATGTCTATTGAGGTCCTTGGCCCATCTCTTAATTGGGTTGTTGGTTTTGTTTTTGTGGAGTTTCTTGATCTCTTTGTAGATTCTGGTTATTAACCCTTTATCTGTTGCATAGTTTGCAAATATTTTTTCCCATTCTGTCGGTTGTCTCTTCACTCTCCTGACTGTTTCTTTTGCAGTACAGAAACTTCTCAATTTGATGCAATCCCAATAGTTGATTTTGGCTTTGACTGTCTGTGCCTCCCGGGTCTTTTCCAGAAATTCTTTGCCTGTGCCAATATCTTGAAGGGTTTCTCCAATGTTCTCTAATAACTTAATGGTGTCAGGACGTAGATTTAGGTCTTTAATCCACGTTGAGTGGATTTTTGTGTAAGGTGTAAGGTAGGGGTCTTGCTTCATGCTTCTGCACGTGGAAATCCAGTTTTCCCAGCACCATTTATTGAATAGACTGTCCTTGCTCCAGGAATTAGTTTTAGATCCTTGATCAAATACAAGTTGGCTATAGATGTTTGGATTGATTTCTGGTGTTTCAATTCTGTTCCATTGGTCTATCCATCTGTTTCTGTACCAGTACCATGCTGTTTTGATTACAGCTGCCCTGTAGTATGTCCTGAAGTCTGGTATTGTGATGCCTCCGGCTTTGTTTTTGTTGTACAAGATTGCTTTAGCTATTCGAGGTCTCTTGTGCCTCCATATGAATTTCAGCATCATTTTTTCTAGATCTGCGAAGAATGTCTTTGGTATCTTGATTGGGATTGCATTGAATCTATAAATTGCTTTTGGGAGAATGGACATTTTGATGATGTTGATTCTTCCAATCCATGAGCATGGAAGATTTTTCCATTTTTTGGTATCCTCTTCTAATTCTTTCTTTAAGGTTTTGTAATTTTCATCGTAGAGATCTTTAACGTCCTTGGTTAAGTTTATTCCAAGGTATTTGATTGTTTTTGTAGCTATTGTGAATGGGATTGATCTTAGCAGTTCTTTCTCAGTCATGGCATTGCTTGTGTATACAAAGGCTGTTGATTTTTGTGCATTGATTTTATATCCTGCCACTTTGCCAAACTCCTCTATGAGTTCCAATAGTCTCTTAGTAGAGTTCTTTGGATCCTCTAAGTACAGAATCATATCGTCTGCAAAGAGGGATAGTTTGACTTCTTCCTTCTTGATTTGTATTCCTTTGATTTCTTTTTTTTGTCTGATGGCTCTGGCTAAAACTTCCAGAACTATGTTAAATAGCAGTGGTGAGAGTGGGCATCCCTGCCTGGTGCCAGATTTCAGTGGAAATGCTTCCAACTTTTCCCCATTCAATAGGATGCTGACTGTGGGTTTTTTATAAATTGCTTTGATTATATTGAGGAATGTTCCTTCTATACCCAATTTGCTTAGAGTTTTCATCATGAAAGGGTGTTGAATTTTATCAAATGCTTTCTCTGCATCAATTGAGATAACCATATGGTTTTTCTTCTGCAGTCTGTTAATGTGGTGAATCACATTGATTGATTTGCGAATGTTGAACCATCCCTGCATACCAGGTGGATGATTTTCCTGATGTGTTGTTGTATTCTATTGGCCAGAATTTTATTGAGGATTTTTGCATCTATGTTCATCAGGGATATTGGTCTGTAATTTTCTTTCAGTGCTGCATCTTTCTCTGGCTTAGGGATTAAGGTGATGCTGGCTTCATAGAAAGAATTTTGGAGGATTCCCTCTTCTTCGATTGTTCTGAATAGTTTGAGAAGAAATGGGATTAGTTCTTCTTTAAATGTCTGGTAGAATTCAGCAGTGAATCCATCTGGTCCTGGGCTTTTCTTTGTTGGGAGGGCCTTTATTACTGTTTCAATTTCTGTTTCAGTTATGGGTCTATTTAGGTTTTCGATGTCTTCCTGGTTCAATTTAGGTAGGTTGCATGTGTCCAGGAATCTATCCATTTCTGATAGGTTTTCCTGTTTGCTGGCATACAGGTCCTTGTAGTAATTTCTGATGATTCTTTTTATTTCTGTGGTGTCTGTTGTTACGTTTCCTTTTTCATCTCTGATTTTATTGATTTGGGTCTTTTCTCTTCTTTTTTTAGTTAGTTGGGCCAATGGGGTGTCAATTTTGTTTATTTTTTCAAAAAACCAGCTTCTTGCTTGGCTGATTTTTTGTAATGTTTTTTTGGATTCAATGCTGTTAATTTCTTCTCTGGTTTTAATTATTTCTCTTCTCCTACTAGATTTGGGTCTGGTTTGCTGCAGTTTTTCTAGGTCCTTGAGGTGCGCTGAAAGCTCATTTATTTGGTACCTTTCCAATTTCTTGATATAGGCACCTATTGCTATAAATTTGCCTCTCAATACTGCTTTTGCTGTATCCCATAAGTTTTGATATGTTGTGTTGTTGTCTTCATTTACTTCCAGAAAGTTTTTGATTTCTCTTTTGATTTCTTGAATGACCCAGTGTTCATTCAGGAGCATGTTGTTCAGTCTCCATGTGTTTGCATACTTTCTGGGGTTTCCTGAGTTGCTAATTTCCAGCTTCATCCCGCTGTGGTCTGAGAAGCTGCATGGTATGATTCTAATTCTTTTAAATTTGCTGAGACTTGCTTTATGGCCTAGTATGTGATCAATCCTAGAGAAGGTTCCATGCGCTGCTGAGAAGAATGTGAAGTCTGTAGATGTAGGGTTGAAAGTTCTGTAGATATCTGTTAGATCCATTTGGGCAATAGTGTCAATTAAATCTGCTGTTTCCTTGTTGATCTTCTGTCCGGATGATCTGTCTGTTTCTGAGAGTGGAGTATTGAAGTCCCCCAGTACTATTGTATTGGAATCTAAATCTCCCTTTAAGTCCCTTAACATATCTTTTAAATAGACCGGTGCCCTGTAATTAGGTGCATATACATTTATAATAGTTACATCTTCCTGTCGAATTGAACCCTTAATCATTATATAGTGTCCCTCTTTGTCTCTCTTAACAGTTTTTGTATTAAAGTTTATTTTGTCTGATATTAATATGGCTACACCTGCTTTTTTTTGGTTTCTGTTGGCATGGAATATCTTTTTCCAACCTTTCACTTTCAGTCTGCATGCCTCTTTGTTAGAGAGATGTGTTTCTTGTAGGCAACAAATAGTTGGGTTGTGTTCTGTGAGCCAGTCAGCCAAACGGTGTCTTTTAACTGAAGAATTCAGACCATTAATGTTCAATGTGACAATTGATACGTAGTGACTTTGCCCTGCCATTTTCCCGGAAATATTTTCTAGTATATGCTTTGAGCTTCCCATGCTCTTTTATGGTAGGTGTTCTTCCTTTCCCTTCTTTCATATTGATGGCCGTGTTTCTGTGTTTCTGAGTGTAGCACATCTTTAAGTATCTTTTGCAGGGCCGGACGAGTGGCCACAAAGTCTTTCAATTTCTGTTTGCTATGAAAGGTCTTTATTTCACCTTCATTCACAAATGAGAGCTTGGCAGGATATAATATTCTGGGCTGGCAATTTTTCTCTCTTAGCACCTGTGCTATGTCTCGCCATTCCCTCCTAGCTTGTAGGGTTTCTGATGAGAAGTCAGCTGTGAGTCTGATTGGAGATCCTCTGAGAGTAATCTGACGTTTCTCTCTTGCACATTTTAGGATCTTTTCTTTATGTTTCACTGTGGTAAGTTTAATTACCACGTGTCGTGGTGAGGATCTCTTTTGGTCATGTTTATTGGGGGTTCTATGAGCTTCCTGTACTAGGATTTCTCTGTCCTTCTCCAAACCTGGAAAGTTCTCTGCTAGTATCTCACTAAAAAGGCCTTCCAATCCTTTCTCTCTCTCCATGCCTTCAGGAACTCCTAGAACTCGAATGTTGGTTTTTTTAATAGTATCCTGTAGATTCCCAACAATATTTTTTAGATTTCTAATTTCCTCTTCTTTTCTTTGGTTTGACTGTATGTTTTCCTGTGCTCTATCTTCTAAGTCCGATATTCTCTCTTCTGCTTCACCCATTCTGTTTTTAAGGCTTTCTAATGTGTTTGTCATTTGATCTATTGAGCTCTTCATTTCATTTTGATTTCTCTTCACTATTACACTTTCCTGTTCTACTAGTTTCTGAGTTTCATTTTGACTCTTCCTTAAAATTTCATTTTCACAAGAGAGATTTTCAATCTTGTCCATTAAGGATTTCTGTAGTTTAAGGATTTGCTTTTGAAAACTTCTAAATGTTCTTATCATAAATTTTTTGAAATCTGTATCTTGCATTTCTTCTATCTCATCATCTTCATACTCTTGGCTTGGGGTGTTTTGCTTATTTGGAGGCATCATAGTGTCATCGTTGATCTTGCTCCCTCTATTTCTGTGTTTGTTACTCGGCATAGTTAATTCTTCTTGCGTCACTGTGCGTTTTTTTTTTCTTTCTTTTTTTTTTTTTATACTGTGTCCGTGTTAAGTGGACTGCCTGCTGTTGGAGGAGCCTTGGAGGCTTGAGATGGGTGCGGCCTGAGAGCTCTGCCTGGTTCTTCCTGGTTAAGGGTGTGCAAAGGTGACACCCTCAGGTTATGCGTGGTAAATCTCTCTCTTTTTATTTATTTATTTATTTTATTTATTCAGGGGGTAAGTAACACCGCAGGGCAGGGCTGTGCAGCATTGATGGTATTTAGCTTCCAGTCTTTGGCTCCTCTGGACTCCCACTGGGTTGCCTAGGCTACTGAATTGTAGTGACTCAGTTCCTTAGCTCTCCCCCATTGATATGTAAATCCAGAGAGGAGGCCTGCTCTTTGTCTCTTGGGAATTCTTCAAGCCTTGCAGCCTTGTAACCTTTGCAAGGCTAAGGGGAAGAGAAACCCCGAAGCCTCTTTTTTCCTTCTTTCCGGTAGTGAGTTTGCTGCACTTTCCGGCCCCCCTCTAGATTCTGACCCCCGTTTCCCCACCAATGTCTCGGGTTATTGAGCTCACCTCCCCTTCCAGCGCTGATGTGTGGACTCGGAGCCCTGAGAGTCCCAAGTCTCCCCGCTGTTGTCTGTGTGGCATGCACTCCCCTTGGAGCACTGGCGCGCAGACCCTGGGGCTTCTGCGGCTCGGTCCCGCGACTTGGCTTCTGCGCGGTGGGCGACCTTGTTCTCCCAGTAGGTCCTCCGATTCACGGCTGCTCCATCCAGAAGGGTTTCCCCTGCAATTTTTTTTTGGTTCTATTTTCTGCGGCTACCGTAACTCCCCTTTTATTAAACTAAATTTTCCCGGACTATCAGTGCGCGCCCTCACTATTCCGCCATCTTGCCAAATGATTTATTTTTGATATGAAACATAGTTGATGTTTATTATTTGGTAATCAAAAAGTATGTGCATAAAACAATTCTTTCTGATAGAATATTCATGAATTTTTTATTTTTATGAGTAAAAAAACATTGTAGTAGTACTGAAATTATGGAAAATAGCTTGATTCACAGAAATAATGTCTTCTGTACTAGGGATTCCCAATTCTAGTAATACCAACAATGATTTCAGGCCCAAGTGAAGATCTACTAACCTGAGAGAGAAAAACCTGGGAGTCAGTACTTCTACTGAGCTCTACAGCTAGATTGAGCTCTAGTTTATTGATCCCCACACTTCTCCCAAAAAATTCCCAGAAATAAAAGCAAACATACTCACCACACACTGACACACACATACACACACATACATACACATAGGTAGGACCCAAAATCTAGGCTTAGAATTAGAAAAAAAAATCTGTTATTCTATTTTGGATGTTTCAGAGTATGGGACATGAGGACCTAGGTACTTTCAGAACTGTCAGAATATCAAGGCATTCTTTGATAGTTCACTCTTTTCTGAACGCTATTAGAACAGCTACTGGATATGAAATAAGAATTTCTCTTTCACTCTACCTCCTTTCACATGCAATATTTAATGTAATATTTCTGCTCTTTTTACTTTGTCTTTGAAACGAAACATGGCTAAATATATTTGATTAATGCCAGCTATTAGAATTCAGATGTTCCTGTATTTGACTTTATGACTAAACACGATACAACTCTGTTTATTATTTAGAAGTACTAGAAAGTACTAGAGAATGAATATTTACAATTCCTAGCATATAAAAGCTAATGCATAATTATTTAATCAATAAAATAGTTTTAAGATACTGGATAAATTAGTTTGTCTGAAACAAAGCTCATTTCTTGAATTTTATTAGTTCTTATCTAATATAAAACAAGATTGAATCAAAGAGTGATCGTGTTTCCTTTGCTTTGTACTCTGGTTAAACGCAGGGGTACTTTAAACACTGTTCATTTTCCTTCTATCTTTCTGCTTTTTTATGTTTTCCATTAATTAGGTATTTCCATTGAAAAATGATGTAAAGAGAAAAACAACAAAGTTGAAGCTTGAAAAGAATGTTGTTCAGGGTGGGTGTTAGGCTTCGTGGTTTAGTTGCTGCCTGGGAAGCCTGCATCCCATATTGGAGTTCCTGGTTTCAAGTTCTAGCTCGGCACTCTGCTTAGAATATTCCTACCACTGTACACACTAGGAAAAAGCGGATGATCACTGAAATGGTTGGATGCATGCCACTCAGATGGGAGCCCCAGATTGAGTTCCTGGCTCTGGCTTTGGCTTGCCTTGACTATGGCTGGCATTTAGGGATGCTAGCCCGTGAGAGATCTCTCTGTCTCTGTCTCTCTGCCTTTCAAATAATAAATAAATAAAAATTAAATAAAGTAGAGGAAGAGTTTACTTTTTATAAATGTATTCACTATCTGTATTTTTATTTTGATGTAGGTTGGCTGCCTGGCCATACATATAAAGAACTGCAGACATTTTATGTCTAAGAGTATCCTTTTATTGATTTTAGAATCATAATATGATCATATCTCAGTATTTCAGTTAACCATTGCTACATTAAAAATTGCTTCAAAACTTAGTGGCTTTAAACTTAACGTTTTGTTATCAACCCTGTCTATGTATTCAGTAACTGGTACTTCTGCTTCTTAAAAACCAAACTTGGGCCACAGTTGTCTGGCAGTTCAGGGAGGGCTGGAATATCTGAAATAACCCATTTATTTGTCTGGTGCTTTGGTGGGGATGACTGGGAGGCTGAACTCAGCTGTAATCCTGAAATGGTTAAACTTTTAATTCTTTAATTTTGATTAAAAGTGCTAAATTAATGTATTTTTTAAATCTTGATTGTTTAAGTTTTTGGTGTATCTTTAAATTTTAAACCCTGGGAAAATACCTCTCTTGCTTAGTCCTAATCACATCCATTGTATTTTATTGGTAAAAGTAGCCACAGTGCTAGCCCAGATTCAAGGGCAGTGGAAGTAAAATCTGTCTTTCAGTTTGGGAATGATAAAGATTTTCAGCCACCTGTAATGCACTTCAATCATGTGTAAGTTAAAGGAAGAATACACATCCTTTTGGTGTGTAAATAAATAATGCTAAATTATTTGTAAGTAGGTATTCTTTCCTTTAGCATTTTTAAAGCATTTGTTTTATATTGGTGACTTTTAAAAAACTAACTTTGTTTTTAGATTTGTCATGGGCTAAAACTAGTATACTCTACAATTCTGTTATCTACTTGATTTATTCTTGATTAATCAAGTATATTTATACTTGATTGATTTATTATTGGCCTAATGGATTATAATTAATAGGTTAATTTAAAATGTATTATTATTCAAGTACAACAAAATTTGTTTCCTAAATGTCATTCCATTTTCAGTCAGTTCACAACATTATACTAATTTGTTCATTCGCATCTCTATTAACAATGTTGTGAAATCTACAAAACTTTGCAGCTTGCTATCCAGAAACAATGAAAAAGTCAATGTAATTGAGTTTGATGAAGTGAAGTATTTTTCTGTAAAGGTAATGTTAAAATTCTCTTCTAGATGTGAGAAAGTCTTTTTATAGTTTCAAATATTCTAACCTAATCCTATCTTTTCTGTTTTTTTTTTTTTTTAAGGTAGGGAAGAAACAAAGCAGTGCCTTTGTATTTGGTATTTTAAAATATTCTGCCTCTATACTATGGGCTGTAATTTTTTTAAACCAACAGGCTACTATAAAATGCATAGCCTTGAGGCCTCTTCCCTGAGATGTCACTGTCTGTAGTTCTCAGTGTTTGTCCTTCCCATCTACCCTCTTCTACCCTTTGTTTTTTCAATCTCCCCAACCTTTCCTTTTCTCCTTTCCTGCAGTCCCCTTATACAGATTCTAATTGTTGTGTAGATTAACTTATTCAATCGTTATATGTATATATCTTATTATCATCCTAACTTAACAGATGAAGAACCTGAGGTACTATGTGAAAGTCACAGAGCTAGTATGTGGGGTAGACTTGGGAATGCAGGCAGTCTGGCCTCCGACCATGCTTCATTAAACCACCTCTTCTTACACCAGGACTTACTGTTTCTTTTTCGCAGTTAAGTTTCTTAAATCTTCAATGTATTTGAAAGCTTCCAAATGAGCAGCAGGGTTCCATATAGATACAGGGTTCATAGATTAGTCTATTTTCTAATTAGTTTTATTGTATCAGTTGGATGTTAGTGAACTCTTAAAGCATTTCCTCTATGTTGCATGTTTTTCTTTTTACAAATTTCATTTTATTTAAGTGTTGAGTATTGAGGATAGTTCTTCAAGCACAGGTTTGAAAAAACAAAACAGCAGTAATACCAAGGTATAGCTTTGCTAGAGGAATATGTACTTTCTTTGACTTTTCAGTTTTGCATACAGAGCAAGCCTCCCGAGAGCCACAGAGAATAGATGCTGGAGGGCTGAAAGCTGAATAGAGACCTTAGAAGTCACAAATTCTAACGATGCCAAATTACTGAAATACCAAGCTTGTCCTTTTAACCTCTGTGCTGGTACACAGGGATTGTCTCCTGCTTTGCTCATTTCTAAGGGGAAAATAGTCACAAATATAACTTTAAAAAGTCTCCTACAGGCTCTGTTAACAGCCATGGGGAAGGACACACCATAAGAAATCACCTAGAGTCTTGGGACTGGAGAGGCAAGAGATTGTTTTCTTAGCAAAGACTGAATAAATGCTAATGGTTATATTAATGGCATTGTGGCGTACAAAAACTTAAAGAATGGAGCCTCAAAAGGACATCTGCTTTCCTTTTATGTTGAATATGTGGATAACTCGTATTAAGACTACCTAGATTACTTAATTTCATTTTGGATATACCTTTGATAATGTAGTCTCAGTAGTGTTGAGGGTGCATTTTTGTAGAGTTAAAAAGAGAATGTAGACAATGGGTGTTTCAGAAACATTATAATTAATGTTAGACATAAACATCAGGATATACGTTACTGTGACGTTAAAAAGTTTTAAAGCTAAATACACACAAAAAAAGCTAATCATTAAACATGCACATAATGTAATATAGTTTATGATTATATCTATTCAGAAACTAAATCTGAAATTCACACTGTAAATTTAATGCTGTTTTTATGTACGTTTTGATACTGAGGTTCCTAGACGTCAAGATGATGAGCGGAATAATATTTACCTGGAACTAATGCAACATGACAGTAAAGAAAAATATCCTCTCTTTTTAGGGAGCTCTGAATTACATCTTTATGAAGTAATCCAGGTATGTATACAAGGTCCATTTATCAATTTAATACCACATAATCCAGTTGTTGTTTGTTGTGATGATTTGTTATATCTGATGGACTCATTTTCTGTTATCTGCCCTGAAATGCATGTGTTTAGGAAACAAAGTTTCACTGTGAGGATTAATGACCCTAATGTCTTAAAAGTAGTAGAATCACCAGGTAGCATGAGGCTTAAAAGGGAAAAACTTTTTATCCTTACATGAACTAATAGGATTTGGAAGCAATGGAGGTTGGTACGGTGGATGCTACTGTATGTACCTCCTGACATTGAGGTATGGAGACTTCTGGAAAAGGAGCGCCTTTACCTGATTATATGAATGAGCCAGGACTCATGTAAAGCAGAGAGGTGGAAGGACTATTTAGTGAAATAGTTGAAGGTTCATCATGAAATTGGGAGCAATGGAAAATACTAGGAAGAAAAAGAATCGTGAAATGTTGGATCATGTGGGGTGACTCATAGGACAGCAAAGATGATCACAAATGGTGACCATGAATACCAAAGTTTTATCTGTGTTAAAAGATCCTAAAAGGGGCAGTTGCTATGGCATAGTGGGTAAAGCCACTGCCTGCAGTGTCAGCATTTCATATGGGTACTGGTTCAAGTCCTGGCTGCTCCACTTCCAATCCAGCTCTCTGCTATGGCCTTGGAAAGCAGTAGAAGAAGGCCCAGGTCTTTGGGCCCCTGCACCCACATGGGAGACCTGGAAGAAGCTCCTGGCTCCTGGCTTCGGATTGGCCCAGCTCTGGCCTTTACAGCCATATGCGGAGTGAACCACCAGATGGAAGACCTCCTTCCCTTCCCCTGCCAGCCTGGTCTCTTTCTCTGCCTCTGCTTCCCTGTAACTCTGCCTTTCAAATAAATAAATAAATCTTTAAAATAACAGTTCTCCAGAGATGAGAGAGGGACTTTAGTTCTGTCAGGGGTCATCTTATCATGTCTTTAACCTCTCAAAAAAGGGGGGGATTGGGAGTAAGTAGGGGACAGGCATTTGGTCTAGCAGTTAAAATGCTGTTTAGGATGCTCACATCCCACACCGGAGTGCCTGGGTTCATGTCCAGCTGCAGCTTCCTGCTTATGCACATCCTGGGAGGCAGCAGTGATAACTCAAAATAGTTGGTTTCCTGCCTCCCCCACGGGAGACTTGGACTGAATTCCTGGCTCTAGGCTTTGGACTGGTCTAGCCCCAGCCAGAGCAAGTGTGTAGGGAGTGAACCAGCCAATGGGAGCTGTCTGTCTTTCTGTCTCTGTCTCTTTGTCACACAAACAGCTAAAAAAAATATGAAAAGAGTGTGGGCATTGCAGTTCCTCCAAGACTTCCAAAAAGAAACATAAATGAAAATATTACATTTGTTTCTGTGACTTGTACCTGTAATTTTTATTTTCTTCTTTTGAATATCCATTGTTTGTGTTTTAACTATTAAATTCATAGGTGCATTTGAAAAATCATTACTTTATTTTTTACTATATTTTGATTTAGATAAAATACAGGAAAATATGTGAGTGACCTTATGTCTAAGAATTTTATTTATTACTTTTTTCTAGAAAGGTTGCTTTACTGAAGAATTGCAAATGATGAATAAAAACACAGTAAGTACTTTACTGAAACTTCCTAAGTTTTCTACATATGTAATATTTAACACTTTGTATAACTTTACTCTGATAAAACTTTACTCTGCTTATAATCTGTATTTTTAATTCTTTATTATCCTTCCAAGTCATGTTTACATTAATGAAAACATATTAAACAGAAATTACAATATTTGCTCATAAAAAGTCACCCTTACATTTTATAAAGCTACTATGTTAATGATAAATGATGAAAAAAATCAGAAATCATTGAATGAGAGTACAACGCCTTTGCATGCTTCTTTGTGTAGTTGTAGCAGCCTCACTGCTGAACTGAAGAAATACTATTGTTCATCTTGGGGTTTCTAAGCAGTTGTTTACAGTTCACCTACTTTTTAAAAAGTACTTCAAATTATTCGCTTGGTTAATGAATCTTCTGTTCAGAGATACTTCTCCTGTCATGGTCCAAACATGGGCAAGGAACCAATAAAACATAATGATGAACAGGTGAAGTCATTGCCTCTGACATTCTCCTCCACGTCACACATAAACAGAGAGGTTCTAAGCCCAAATGTTACCTGAGGATTGGAGCATTGGAGTGGAAGTGAGAGGAGCATGAGTAAATGATTAAAATGTATACATGTGTATGAACTTACATATTTGTTTGTATTGCAATGTTTCAGTGAATCATTAATAATTTTGAGTTGATATTTTCAATATTTTTATCATGTAATATATTTAACTTTACTTTTTGTGTGTGTGTGTATCCTGCAATGGATAGAATGTTGCCATTTTATTTTATTTATTTACTAAAATTTTTTTAAGGTGAACAGATTTCTTGTATTTCACATACAGATTTAGGATCATAGTAATACTTCCCACCCTACACTCCCTCCTGTCCATGCTCTCACCCTCCCTTCTTCCTTTCCCATTTCTTCCTTTTACAGTGATCTATTCTCAGTCTATTTCATACTCGTCATATTAATCCTAGACCAAGTAAAGAATTCAAAAAAATAGTAAGAAGAAAGAAACACTGTTCCTTAACAGTAGAGACAAGGGCTGTAAACAATTATTGAATCTCAAAATGTCAATTTTACTCTTATACATTACATTTTTTGGTACTCTATTATTACCACATATCAGGGAAAACATATGGTATCTGTCTTTTTAGTACTGCCTTATTTCACTAAGTATAACGGTTTCCAGTTGCATCCATTTTATTTAGGTCTTCTATGTCTTCATGACTCAGTTTTGGTAGATTGCACGTATTCAGGTATCTGTCCATTTCCTCTGGATTTTCGCGTTTGTTGGCATATAGCTGTTTGTAGTTTTTATTTCTATGATATCTGTTGTTAAATCTCCTTTTTTATCTCTGATTTTATTGATTTGGGTCTTCTCCCTCTGTTTTTTGGTTAGTTTTTCCAATGGTGTATCAATTTTGCTTATGTTTTTCATAAAATCAGCTCTTTATTTCACTGATATTTTATATATTTTTGTTTTGATTTTATTTATTTCTTCTCTAATTTTTAAAATTTTAATTATTTCTTTTCTTCTAATTTTGGATTTGATTTGTTCTAGGTCATGAGATGCATTGATAGCTCATTTATTTGATACCTTTCCAGTAGGCACCAATTGCTATAAACTTCCCTGTAATAATACTGTTTTTGGTGTATCCCATTATTTTTTTTAAAGATTTATTTATTTCTTTGAAAGTCAGAGTTACACAGGGAGAAAGAGAGAGGTCTTCCATCTTCTGGTTTACTCCTCAGTTGGCTGCAACAGGCAGAGCTGCAGCCAGGAGCCAGGAGCTTCCTCTGGGTCTCCCCACATGAGTGCAGGGGCTCAAGGACTTGGGCCATCCTCTACTGCTTTTTTTTTTTTTTGACAGGCAGAGTGGACAGTGAGAGAGAGAGACAGAGAGAAAGGTCTTCCTTTTGCCGTTGGTTCACCCTCCAATGGCCGCAGCGGCCGGCGCGCTGCGGCCGGCGCACCGCGCTGATCCGATGGCAGGAGCCAGGAGCCAGGTGCTTTTCCTGGTCTCCCATGGGGTGCAGGGCCCAAGCACCTGGGCCATCCTCCACTGCACTCCCTGGCCACAGCAGAGAGCTGGCCTGGAAGAGGGGCAACCGGGACAGAATCCGGCGCCCCAACCGGGACTAGAACCCGGTGTGCCGGCGCCGCTAGGTGGAGGATTAGCCTAGTGAGCCGTGGCGCTGGCCAATCCTCTACTGCTTTCCCAGGCCATTGCAGGGAGCTGGATTGGAAGTGGAGTAGCTGGGACTTGAACTGGCCCCCATATGGGATGCTGGAACTGCATGTGGTGGCTGTACCTGCTATGCTACAGCACCGGCCCCATCCCATTTGTTTGGATATGTTGTGTTGTCATCTTCAGTCTTTGCAGGAATTAGTTCATTCAAGAACATGTTGTTTAGTTTCCATGTTTTGGCATTTGTTCTACAGATTCTTTTTTTAAAAAAAGATTTATTTATTTATTTGAAAGAGTTGCACAGAAAGAAGGAGAAGCAGAGAGAGAGAGAGAGATAAAGAGAGGAGAGAGAGAGAAGGTGAGAGAGAGAGAGGTCTCCAACTGCTGGTTCACTCCCCAACTGGCCGCAATGGCTGGAGCTGCGCCAATCTGAAGCCAGGAGCCAACAGCTTCTTCTGGGTCTCCCATGCGGGTGCAGGGACTCAAGGATTTGGGCAATCTTCTACTGCTTTCCCAGGCCATAGCAGAGAGCTGGATTGGAAGTGGAGCAGCCAGGACTCGAACCAGTGCCCATATGGGATGCTGACACTGAAGGCGGCGGCTTTACCCATTATGCCACAGCACCGGCACCTTTTTTTTTTTTTAAGATTTACTTATTCATTGAAAGTCAGAGTTATACACAGAGAGAAGGAGAGGCAGAGAGAGATATATATAGAGATTTTCCATCCTCTAGTTCACTCCCCAGTTGGCCACAACAGCTGGAGCTGTGCTGATCTGAAACTAGGAGCTGGGAGCTTGCTTCGGGTCTCCCACATGGGTGCAGCAGCCCAAGGACTTGGGACATCCTCCAGTGCTTTCCCAGGCATAGCAGAGAGCTGGATCAGAAGTGGAGCAGCCAGGACACAAGCTGGGGTCCATATGGGATGCTGGTGCTACAGGTGGTGGCTTTACCCGCTATGCCACAACACTGGCCCCCTAGAGATTCTTAAGTTCTTAATTTCCAGCTTCATTCCATTGTGTCCAGAGAAAATACATGGTATGATTTCAGTTTTTTAATTTTGCTGAGACTTGCTTTATGGCCTAGCACATGGTCTATTCTAGAGAAAGTTCCATACACTGATGAAAATAATGTATTCTTCAACCGTAGGATGAAATGTTCTTTAGATATCAGTTGGGTCCATTAAGTCCATAATATAGATTAGCTCTGCTGTTTCTTTTTGGATTTTCTGTCTATTTGAGCTGTCTGTTGATGAATGTAGGGTGTTGAAGGTCTCCCTTTACTATTGTATTGGAGTCTTTGTCTCTCCTTAGATCCATTAACTTTTGTTTTATATAGCCAGGCACCCTGACATTGGGTGCATATACTTTTATTATAGTCACATCTTCCTGTTGAATTAATTCCTTAATCATTACCTAATGCCCCTTTTTGCCTCCTTTAACAGTTTTTGTGTTAAAGTCTATTTTTCCTGATATTAGGATGGCTATATCTGCTTGTTTTTGCTTTCTGTTATCATGGAAGTTCTTTTCCATCCTTTCACTTTCATTATGCATGTATCTTTGTTGGTGAGGTGTGTTTCTTGTAGGCAAAAAATAAATTGGTCTTGTTTCTTAATCCATCAGCTAGTCTATAACTTATAATTGGAGAATTTAGGCCATTTACATTCAGGGTTGCTCTTTTTTTTTTTTTTAAATATTTTATTTATTTTTATTTGAGAGGTAGAGTTACACACAGTGAGAGGGAGAGACAGAGAGAAAGGTCTTCCTTCCATTGGTTCACTCCCCAAATGGCTGCAATGGCTGGAGCTGCGCTAATCCAAAGCCAGGAGGTAGGTGCCTCCTCCCGGTCTCCCATGTGGATGCAGGGACCAAGGACTTGGGCCATCCTCTACTGCTTTCCCAGGCCATAGCAGAGAGCTGGACTGGAAGAAGAGCAGCCGGAATTAGAACTGGCGCCCATATGGGATGCCAGCACCACAGGCTTAGGATTAACTTACTGCGCCACGGTGCCAGCCCCATCAAGGTTACTCTTGATAAGTAACAACTTGGCCCTGCAACTTTTTGATAAATATTCCTATTGTTTGCTTTGAATTTCTTTTGTCCTTTACAGAGAGATTTTCTGCCTTCACATTCTTTCATAATGATGATTATCCTTCTGTGTTATGTGTGTAGCATATCCTTAAGCGTCTTTTGTAAGGCTGGACAAGTGGTGACAAATTCTTCAATTTATTTTTGTTATGGAAGGTCTTTATTTCACTTTTTTTCATAAATGAGAGCTTTGCATGGTTCAATATTCTGGGTTGACAGGTTTTTTCTCTTTTTTTATTCTTTTTCTTTTTTTTTTCAACTTTTATTTAATGAATATAAATTTCCAAAGTACAGAATATGGATTACAATGGCTTCCCCCCCATAACGTCCCTCCCACCCATAACCCTCCCCTTTCCCACTCCCTCTCCCTTTCCATTCACATCAAGATTCATTTTCGTTTCTCTTTATATACCTAAGATCAGTTTAGCATACATTAAGTAAAGATTTCAACAGCTTGCTCCCACACAGAAACATAAAGTGAAAAATACTGTTTGAGTACTAGTTATAGCATTAAATCACACTGTACAGCACACTAAGGACAGAGATCCTACATGAGGAGTAAGTGCACAGTGACTCCTGTTGTTGACTTAACAAATTGACACTCTTGTTTATGGCATCAGTAATCACCCTAGGCTCTTGTCATGAGCTGCCAAGGCTATGGAAGCCCCCTGGGTTCACTGAGTCTGATAATTTTTAGACAAGGCCATGGTCAAAGTGGAAGTTCTCTCCTCCCTTCAGAGAAAAGTACCTCCTTCTTTGATGACCCGATCTTTCCACTGGGATCTCACTCGCAGAGATCTTTCATTTAGTTTTTTTTTTTTTTTTTTTCCAGAGTGTCTTGGCTTTCCATGCCTGAAATACTCTCATGGGCTTTTCAGCCGGATCCGCATGCCTTAAGGGCTGATTCTGAGGCCAGAGTGCTGTTTAGGACATCTGCCATTCTATGGGTCTGCTGTGTATCTCACTTCCCATGTTGGATCATTCTCTCCCTTTTTTATTCTATCAGCTAGTATTAGCAGACACTAGTCTTGTTTATGTGATCCCTTTGACTCTTAGACCTATCAGTGTGATCAATTGTGAACTGAAATTGATCACTGGGACTAGTGAGATGGCATTGGTACATGCCACCTTGATGGGATTGAATTGGAATCCCCTGGTATGTTTCTAACTCTACCGTTTGAGGTAAGTGAGCTTGAGCGTGTCCCGAATTGCACATCTCTTCCCTCTCTTATTCCCACTCTTATATTTAACAGTGATCACTTTTCAGTTAAGTTTCAGCACTCAAGAAGAATTGTGTATTGATTACAGTATTCAACCAAAAGTATTAAGTAGAGCAAACAAAAAAAATACTAAGAGGGATAACATAACAAGTTGCTCATCAGCAGTCAGGGTGAGGGCTGATCAAGTCACCATTTCTCATAGTGTTCATTTCACTTTAACAGGTTTCTCTTAAGACTTGACTATGTCTCTCCATTCTCTCCCTGTAGGGTTTCTAGAGAAATCAGCTGTGAGTCTAATTGGAGATTTTCTGAAAGTAATCTGGTATTTCTCTCATGCATAATTTAGAGTCTTTATGTTTTATGTTGAAAGTTTGACTGCAATGTGTCGTGGTGTAGATCTTTTCTGGTCATGTCTATTAGGAGTTCTGTATACTACCTGCTCTTGTGCGTCCCTTTATTTCTTCAAGTTTGGGATGTTTTCTGTTATTTCACTGAATAGTTTTTCTAATCCATTCTCTCTTTCCACAGCTTCAGGAACTCCTAAGACCCATATGTTGGGTTGTTTGATAGTATCCCATAAATCCCAAACACTCTCTTTAATTTTTCTAATTTCTTCTTCCCTTTTTGGTCTGACTCAGATATTTCCAAAGTATCTTCCAGCTCAGATATTCTTTCTTCTGCCTCACCAACCTTGTTGTTAAGGGTTCCTAGTGTATTTTTTATTTGACATATTGAATTCTTCATTTCTAATATTTCAGTTTGATTTGGCATCAAAATGTAAATCTCACAGGAAAATTTTTATTCCATGTCATGTGTGGTTTTTTTTTTTTTAACTCATGAATGTTCTCATTGCTTCTGAGTAATCCTATGATCATTTTTTAAAATTCCTTTTCAGGTATTTCATTTTATATTCTAATATTGAATTTGTTGTTGTGTTCCTTTGGGCAGTCATGTGTCTTCCTTATTGTTGTTTCCTGCATTTCTTTGTTTATTTTTAAGCATTTGTGGAAATACTTGTTGGTTACCTCTTCTGATGGATATTATCTTTGAACTCTGCCTCTGTGGCTTAGTAGAGTTTCTTAGAGGCATGTGCTGGTGTGGCATGGGAGCTCTGATCAGTGCTCTACAGTGTACTGAGAATCCAGGGTGACACCAAAGTTGGGCAGGGTAGATCTCTATCGTCAGCAGGGGAGAGGGTGTGATCACACCTGTTGGCATAATCACAACTTCACTTCCTCTCTTCCTAGGAGGATCCGCTCAGCCCCGTGAACCTTCCCTGTCCACAGAGAGAGTGGTGACATTCCCAGAGTGAGCTGCCTGTGGGTGCTTCTAGTTGGAGTTTGAATCCCAGAGCCTGTGATTGGTTGAGAAGATGGGGGCACCTCGCAGTCCTGTGTGGGTGCCTAGCCCCCTGTCAATCTTCCCAGCCCGACTCCAAGATAGTGGGGAACATGGCTTTTTCTTTCTGGTAAAATCGCCTGGTCTCAGGTGTGCACAAGAGCTGCTGTGGCCTCTACTGCTTTCAGAATGGCACCTTCTCCCTACCATTGGCCAGGCGCCTTTGTAGTAGGGTGGAGAGAAAGAAACATGATATCCCTCCACTGGATTAGGCAGGGATCCTGTCCCTCACTAGGGCTCTAGGCTGGACCCAAAGACAGTGTGGTCTGCAAGGCTCTCCCTCAGACGGTATACCCATGACACGAGCTGCCAGTTTGCTCTCACCTTGCTCTCCAAAGCTGGCAGTTCCCAGCTGCAGGGGTTCACATGTGATGTCTGCGATCATCGCTGTGCGTCTGTACCTTCCACCCTGCTCCATGGTGTCCCGCTTCCTTCTGTAGAATTTCCACTGCAGACTTCTCTCCAACACTCCTCTGGAAATGCACTTCCTCCATTTTTCTTCTGCTGCTTTCCTGTTCAAAAGTAGCACATGTTTTCCCTATTCAGCCATCTTGGAATCCCCCCCTATTGCTTGTCTTTGACTCTTTGACATGAAATCTTTTAACAGTTCAGGAACTCAGTAGATTCTTCTTTAGGGGCTCCTTGTAGAATTTTTTTTTTTTATTTCAGGAGATTCATGCTTTGACTTTTTTAAACTTACAGACTTGTGGAGTGAAAATGTTATTTCTCTTTTAAGTATAATTTTAATAAAACAATAAAATAAATTTGCCACATGTTTAGTTTATCTGCAGGGTGGAAGTGGAATTTATGTTCTCCTATGGAAACTTTGGTTATGGATTTTCTCATCAGGTTAGTTCCCCTTTTTTAAAAAAGTTGTTCTATTTCAGTTATTTTGTCAGATCATCCTCTTCTGAGCCTCTATTTTTTCCAATTGATAAATATCTTAAAAAGATCTGTCAAACAAATAAATAAATAAATTATTCATTTAGTTGAAAGGCAGAGTTGGAGAGAGAGAGAGATATCTTCCATCCACTAGTTCACTCCCCAAATGGTACTAACAGCCAGGGCTGGGCCAGACTGAAGACAGGAGCCTGGCTTCCATCCAGGTCTCCCATGTGGGTGGCAGGGGCCCAAGCATTTGGGCCATTTTCTGCTGCTTTCACAGGTACATTCGCTGGAAGCTGGATTGGAAGTGGAGCAGCTGGGACTTGGACATTCATGTGGCATATTGGTATCACAGGTGACAGCTTAACATGCTATGCCACAGTGCAAGACCCCAGTTCATAAATTTTTTGAAATCAGTCTTTTTTAAAGAATCCTACTCTACCTCCTGACCTTGAGGTACATTAGCTTTTTTTCAGCCTAAATAAAAATGAAACTTAACCATTATTTGCTTATACATTTTTTAAATTATGGTCTTTTACTCAAAATATTGTTATAATAAAGCTTGCTTTTGTGTGTTAGAAATATGCTTATAATTAGAAATATGCATTATTTTAAATATTCAATAAATAAGGATGTTTGTACTTAAAAATAGTTATTAAAAATAAAGTCGTTGGAGGCTGTTGCTGTGGTATGGCAGGTAAAGCCACCTCCTGTGATGGCAGCGTCCCATGTGGGCACCAGTTCATATCCTGGCTGCTCTACTTCTGATCCAACTTCCTGCTAATGGCCTGGGAAAATCAGTGGAAGGTAACCCACCCATGTGTTCGGCCCCTGTAATCCATGTGAGAGGCCCAGATAAAACTCCTGGCTTCAGCTGGGCCCAGCTCTGGCTGTTGTAGGCATCTGGGGAGTGAACTAGTACATGGAATATCTCTCCCCCTCTCTTTGTAGCTCTGATTTTTAAATAAATGAATAAATAAATCTGTTTTTAAAATGAATTGATATTTTTCTTTTTAAGGTTTATTTATTTAAAGGTATTTAAAGGTAAGTTCCCTACTTTCCCATCATGATACCACAAAGAGAGAACCACTTGGGGTGCAAATAAAGCTGCATTCAGATCCTGGATCTTGTTCCGACCGGGTAACCTTGAACAAATTGCTTATCTTCAGTATCATTCTGTAAATACTCTGTATTGCCTACCTCACAGGTTTACTGAGAGGCTTAAGTAATATTAAAAGTCTAAAATGTTTGGCAAATATTTAGCACCCAATAATTTTGTTGTTAATTTTTGAGATAAAATTTTTAATTTACATTATAGTCAAAGGCTTTAGGCTTGGCAATTAAAAAGACCACAGTTCAGCAGGAATACAGGCAGTGGCTATAAACAGCAATCAAATGAAAAGATGTCAATTTCACTTATTTACAGTAAATTTAAAAATAATCATAGACCATTAAACTTACAGTAGTGTATCATTCTTCGCAATATGTTTGACAAATATATAAAACCAAGCTTGATAAAATGATGCTTGCAGCAATAATCTTTCACACTGGCACTTCTTTCTTTTTATTTTTGTGTTTTGATTTTTTTTTAAAATTAGCTCCCACATATAAGGGAGAGAACATGTAGTATTTGTCTTTTTGTGTCTGACTTGTTTCACTCAATGTAATGTTCCCCAGTTGCAACCATTTTGATGTAAATGATAGAGTTTCATTCTTTTTTATAGCTGAATAATATTCATACACACAAACACACACCACATTTTCTTTATCCATTTGTCTGATGATGGATACTTTGGTTGATTCCATATTTTGGCGATTGTGAACATTGCTGCTATAAACATGTGGTGAAAGTACCCAATTAATTTAATTCCTCTCTTCATTCCTTTTTTCCTTTTATGTGTTATTTATGGCCCATTCTGTTGTCATGTAAGATTGGTGATGTTGGGAAAATTATAATTGTAAGTAAATTGTGTTAAAATATGCTTACACTTTTGTTTAGTTAAAACCTCTTCAGAAAATTATTGAGCCGTCTATGTTTATGAAAGTTGCACCACCTCCAGAAAGAACAGATCCCGTGACGTAAGTGTTATAAGTTTTATTAATATTGTTAGATTGTATAGCATTTTAAAAAATTTGATGGAGCACTTTAGCTATCTTAAGTAGCACCCAGGGAATGGCCAGTTTGGGTTAGACTCCAAGGGAAGGGGAACACTTTCTTTTGCTTAATAAGGTGGAAGAAAATTTGAATTTCTGGGTATAGCCCTGGAGAGAGGAAGTAAGAAGGTCTGGAGATAAGAAGAAGAAAAGGGATGGGTATTTGACACAGTCCTTCAGATGCCACTTGGGATACCTGCATCCCACATCGGAGTGCCTGGTCCAAGTTCTGACGCTACCACTTCTGATCCAGCTTCTTGCTAATGTGCACTCTGATATGCAACAGGCGATGGCTCAAGTACTTGGGTCCCTGATACTCTCTTGGGAGACCTGAATTGAATTCTCAGCTTCCAGTTTCAGCCTGGCTGAGCCCCAGTTATTGTAACATTTGAGGAGTGAACCAGCATATAGAAGACCTCTCTCTGCCTTTCAAATAAAATGAACATAAATTTTACAAAATTAAAACTAAAGAAAAAAGAGAGTACCAGGTTCATGACTGAAGGACAGTAGGGAGTGGTAGCATAAAGAACAAGGTTGGACAGTGAGATAATCTTGTTAGAAAAATAAGTGAGAAATTTTTAGGATTGAGCTGTCAAATGGTTGTAAGTGTCCTGCCCTGTGGTATAGTTATGTTGCCTTATTTCCACACCAATCCAATTGTTACTTCCATATAGTCAGTAAAACGTCTATGGTTAAAAACATGAAATTAGGAAACTAAAAGTGACTTAAAAAATAGTATGCCACCCATGTGGGAGACCTGGATAAATTCTCGACTCCTGGCTTCAGCTTGTTGCAGCCCAGCTGTTGTGGACATTTGGGGAGTGAACCAGCAGATGGTAGATCTTTGTCTGTCTCTCTGTGTTTTAGATAAATGAACAGCTATAATTTTGTTAAAAAAAGATAAATGCTTATTTAATGTAAAGGAAGAGATTCAGAGGCTTGGGAAATTGTAATATTAGAGTGGACTTGTCACTTAATGTTTGATCACCTACTCTGGTAAGTCCAAGATACAAATTTTACCAAGAGTCTGAGAAATAAATTTTTGAAAAATGCCCTGGCATCCTTCAAGAACTCTGTAATTGTTCTTTTCTCTGGAGGCAAGACCTTATGGTGGGAACTGCAGTCATTGAGTTGAGAAACCTACATGAAATGGGTGTAATGGGTTCCCAGTGTGGCAGGAGCCACAATGGGTATGGTTAAATCTCACTTTATGAGCAGGAAGTTCTAGGTTAAGTGAACAACAGTCCAGCCTGAATTAAATCAGAGTCATGGCCAGTTTACAAACCCAGGATCCTTTGAATGAGAAGGCTGAATCCCCTGAAGGAAGAACCCCACTACACTGCCAAAAATTTAGACTGTTAAATTTTCTCCCTGTCTTCCCCAAGGAAGCAATAACCCTTCAATGGGGTAACTGCATTAGAGAATAGGAAACAATCAGTCTATTTGAAAACAACTGGACACTGATTCTTAGTTGAAACAAATTCCAGGAGACTCCAAATGTCACTGTGGTCCATCAGCTAGAGTGTAGACTGATGGAGCTCACATGGTCTGTGGAGTTTTAGCAGGTCCCACCCATCCTATTTCCCCTGTTCCAGAATGCATAATTGAAGTGTATGCTCAGTTGGTTCTGTAACCTGGGAAATGGAAGCTATTATAATGGGAAAAGCCAAGTGGAAGCTACTGAAATTGCTTATACCTAGAAAAATAGTAAGCCAAAAGTGATACTGCATTACTGGAAGGATTATGGAGATTGTTGCCAGCATCAAGGATTTGAAAAATATAGGTAGTGGCTCTCATCACATCTTCATTCAACTTGCCTATTTAGCCTGTGCAGAAGACAGATGGACCTCAGAGAGAAAAAAAAAGTGGGTTACTCTGAACTTAGCTAAGTGATGACTGCAATTGCAACTGCTATAATACAGATAGGATTTCACTGCTTGAGCAAATTAACATATCCCCTGGTATCTGGAAAGCAGCTGTAATTGCACTTTTGTGTAATTTCAACATTTCACTTTATTACCATTTTGCAGAAATGTTATTTTACCACAGCCAGTAGAATATCCAGCATTTTTATCTCCAGACCTGAATGTTACTGTTGGGAATCCAAATACCATGCCCCAGCTGAACCAGCCATCCATGGTGCGGCTCGAAAAGCTACAGCAACAACCCCGGGAAAGGTAAAAAAAACACAGGAGTTTTCAGTTTATGTATGTGTCCTTTGTGTTTCTTCCTCTGAGATATAGGTTTGCTGGTGGTCCAGGAAGATTCATTACAGGGGCAGGCATTTGACCTAGTGATTAGAACACCTGCCTCCCACATCAGGGTGCCTGGGTTCAAGTCCCAGCTCTTCTCCTGACTCCAGCCGGCTTCCTGCTGATGTGCTCCCAGGAAGGCAGCTGTGGTGCCACCCGTATGGGAGACCTGGATTGAGTTTCTGGCTCCAGCTTCAACTGCCCCCTCTTTGCCCCCACAACCTGTTGAAGGTATCTGAGGAGTAAACCCGTGAATATGAGTGTGCATGCTCTTGCTTTTGCTCTCTCTCCTCTAAAATAAATAATTTTTTAAAAAAATTAAATGCTTAACTTTGGTATTGTGCCATGGGTTCAGAGGTTGTTTCTGATTTTTTCTTATCAGATAAATCTTTTAAAAAGTCACTAACAGCAAGAAAAGAGGTGAAAACTTACTTACATGGAGAAAATATAATACTTGCTTTGCTTCTTCATTCTACAATGTATTATATTGTCTCTTAGGTTCTTTTCTGTATTTCTCATCATTTTTTCTCCATGCTTTAGTCTAGATATTTTCTTCTTATCTGTATTCTAGTTCAGTGATTCTTCTTTTTCTAGTCTGCTTTTTAACTAATTAAATTTTTAATTTCAGTTATTTTCTTTTCATTCTTGAAATTCCTATTTATTTCTACTTCCCACTTCTCAGGCCAAATCCCCAGCCTTGTCTTTTAATTCTATGAATATTTTAATCATTGTCTTAGCTCAGACTATTATAAAAGATACCATGGATTAGGTGGCTGAACCAATAGACATCTCTTTCTCACATCAAGGTGCTGGCTGATTTGGTTCCTGAAGAGGGCCCTCTTCCTAATTTGGAATGAACACCTACCTGACTGGTTCTAGTCTGATGCTTAAACAAGTAATGAATTTCTTTGGATAGCTCCCCGTGGCCCTGTCCTGGACTAGAGAGTTGGCTGGTAAATTTTGAGCAGTCATAGTGGTTTGACTGGTTTGTTCCTTTAGACAGTACCATGAATTCTTTGCCCTCAGCTGCTTTTGAAATGATCAGAAGCCTCCCAGTTTGGACTGTTGTGCTCGAATTGGCCCACTGTGCTTTCCAGTAACATGATTTTGGCTGTTTTGGTTCTCTCTTGGTCTCAGATCTATCCGATGCTCCTTTATACTCACTGCTTTCTCCAGCGTACATGCTGATACCATGAAGGACATGTGTGTGCGTGTGTGTGTGTATGTGTGTGTGTGTGTGTGTGTGTGAGTGTTTTGGGGTGTTGCTTAAAGCTTTTTTGGGTTTGTTGCCTCTCTGCCCCTGTTGCCATTATCTTCCCAGAACTACCTTTTATATCTGTTAAACTAAGTAACATTCAGAGAGAGCTTCTCCAAAGGATAATATTTGAGAATAAAATGGCATAAATAAATAAAATGGCAATAGGAATATGCATGTCATAGTAAAAAGGGAGTGTATTCAAGGAGACTGAAGCAAGAGGAAGTTTTTAAAGGCAAAAATGAGAATTACATAAGATATTTTGAAGTAATAATCCTTGGCCACAAGGATTAATAACAAGAGTGGCTTCTGTCTGAAGTTGGAATAGACAGTGGCTGGGCAGATGTGCTTGCAGACAGCTTTTTAATTTTTGTTTTATTTTGTTTTTGGTGCAGTGCTACAATGGCTTTTGTGCAAGGTTGTGGTCTGGCAGTCTTTTGTGATTGTTGCTATCCGGGAATTATGAGTGAGAACTTCTCCTTATAACCTGGCTGGCTGGCTGGCTGGCTTTCTGTTTGGTTGAGTGGCTAACTGGCTGGTTGGCTTTCTTTCTTTCTTTATACTAGGGTTGATACAAATGATTCCATTTTGGTTTTTGACGACTTTCACATACTTCTTTTGCTAAACTGTCATATTTAAAATTATTTGTCTTTAATTTATAGTATTTTTATAGAAATGTAGACAATTATGACAACAAATAATAACAATGTTCCTTCTTTATTCCCATTCCTTATTCTTTAATTTTGTTTTCTTGTCTTATTATGTTAGTAAGAAGTTCCTGCCAATGTCTGAAAAAAATGGCAAGATAAACATTTTTATTTTGTTCATGATATTTAAAGAAATGCTTCAAACTTTATCAGGAGCTTTTTGTTTTTCTTTTTTCTCTTCTTTTCTTTCTCCCTCCCCTTTCTATCTCTCTTTCCCTTCCTTCCTCTCTCCCTCCCTCCTTCCCTGTATCAGGTTAAGTATGAAGGGGAAGTATGAAAAATACATGCTATGAAAAAACTATGCATTTCAAAATTTTGTGCCAAAATAAACATATTTTAGTTCCACTTTCCAAGGACTTTAAGAAAAAATACTCCCCTGTATTCCATTCCATTTCTAGCTTGTTAATACTTTAAAAAATTATTAATGGATGTTGGATTTTGTCAAACTTTATGTTTCTTAGTTAAATTGTATTTAATTATATGAGTATTTTCTAATGTGAATGTCAAAATATCCTTATAGTATTCTTGGTATAAACCCAGCTTGCTTATGATATATTGTATTTTTCTACATAACTGGCCTTTCTAAAACTATATTTTACTTATAACATTTGCTTCTATATTCATGGAAACTGTAATTTTTCCATTTTTGTAATGTCCTTGTCAGGTTCTATTGTCAAGACCATAGTGTTTTCATGAAATGAATTGGGAAACTTTCTCTTTTTCATGTTTAATTCTTATTCATTATATTTTTAGATTATTTAGGTCCTTTGAAGTTTCTTGGGTTAGAAGCTAAATCCCCCCTCCGACTTGTATTACTAAAAGAGATCATATATATATATATATATACACACACACACACACACACACATACACACACATACATATAATTTATAACATATGTATAAATAGTGTTATGGACTGAATGTTGGTATCAGCCACCCTCCCCTCTCCCGCACCCAAATCTGCACACTCAAATTCATGTGTTGAAATCCTAATCCGCAGTGTGATGGCATTTGGAATTAGGGGCCCTCATGAATGGATTAATGCTCTTATAGAAAGGAGACCGGTGCCGCGGCTCACTAGGCTAATCCTCTGCCTGTGGCACCGGCACCCCAGGTTCTAGCCCGGTTGGGGTGCCGGATTCTGTCCCGGTTGTTCCTCTTTCAGTATAGCTCTCTGCTGTGGCCCGGGAGTGCAATGGAGGATGGCTCAGGTCCTTGGGTCCTGCACCTGCATGGGAGACCAGGAGGAAGCACCTGGCTCTGGCTTCAGATCGGCGCAGTGTGCCACTTGGGGGGTGAACCAACGGAAAAAGGAAGAGCTTTCTCTCCGTCTCTCTCACTGTGTAACTGTGACAGACAGACAGACAGACAGAAAGAAAGAAAGAAAGAAAGAGAGAGAAAGGGAGAAAGGGAGAAAGGGAGAAAGGGAAAGGGAAAGGAAGGAGTAAAACAAGATTTCATCTCTCTCCATTGTATGAGGCTACGAGAAGGTGGCCTCGGCAAACCACAGAGTGCCCCTCCAGATCTCAGACCTGCCTGCTGGCCCCTTGGTATAGACTTCCCAGCTTCTAAAACTGTGAGATATAAATGTTTAAGCCACCGAATTTATGGTATTCTAACAGGCCATACTGATTAAGCCATGTAGTTTAATATGTAGTTAATACTAAGTCCAATATGATAATTCTAAAAAATGTTTATGTGGCTTAAATAACAATAAGACCATTGACTAGATACTTACTATTTAGATTTAAAAATCCAACACCGCCAATATCAGATATGTGTTTGCGTGCCTTTTATTAGGCTGCATCTTTTACCCTAAATCCCCAGTTAACTGCTACCCTGATTTTTGTTGCAATAATTCCCATTCCTTTGATTGCATTTCTAGTGATATATTGATACTTTTTCTCTTTTAGAACTTTTTATAAGTGGCTCATACTTTATGCATTCTTCTGTGAACCCTACTATGTATATTTCTTCTGTCACTTTCATCTGTAACTGATTACTTTCTTTAGGCTGGAACAAATGAAAACAGAATATAGAAATCTGAGGACATGGATGGAAAAAGTTGGCTATTTAGACAAAATTATTAACCCAAAATTGGAAGATAAAGATTCTAAGGTAATTGATGTAATAAATTATATCATATAGCTTCTAATTCTTCTTTAAGCAAAGAGTTTGTGATGTTCAAATATTACTTCTTTGTGATGATAGGTATATATATATTCATACAATGCTATGTAAATGGATAGATGTATACACACAATACTACTCATGGTTTATGTGCTTTCCTATTGTTGTAATGTGTTATTCAGTAAAGGCTGATTAATTTTAACAGCTTTATTAAGATATAATTCATATACCATATGATTGACTTATTTAAAGTATACAATTAAATGATTTTAAATATACTCCCAAAGTTGTGTATCTGTCACCTCAGTCAATTTTAGAACATCTTCATTATCCCCAAAAGGAACCTCATACTTTTAGCCAATATTCCCCCAATTCTTCCATCACCCAGCCAGCCATAGGCAATCACTAATCTGCTTTCTATCTTTACAGATTTATCTATTCTAGACATTTTAACATGAATGGAATCATGCAATATGTGGTCCTTTGTGACCTGATTCTTTCACTTAACATGCTGTTTTCAGGTTCATCCCCACAAAGACTTATATCAGTATTTCATTTCTTTTTTTTTTTTTAAGAATTTTTTTTTATTTGAAAGAGAATTACAGAAAGAGGTAGAGCCAGAGAGAAAGGTCTTCCATTCCACTGGTTCACTCTCCAAATGACCACAACGGCCAGAGCTGAGCTGATTCGAACAGAAGCCAGGAGCCAGAAGTCTCCTCTGGGTCTCCCATATGGGTGCAGGGACCCAAGGAGTTGGGCCATCTTCTACTGCTTTCCCAGGCCATAGCAGAGAGCTGGATCAGAAGTGGAGCAACCAGGACTCAAACTGGCTGCCCATATGGGATGCTGGCGCTGCACACTGGGGCTTCAGCCCAGTGCGCCACAGCGCCGGCCCCAGTATTTCATTTCTTATTGTTTCCAAATAACATTCTACTATGTGGACACACCATTTTTTATGCATATACAAACTTATGAACATTTGAGTTATTTCTGCAGTTAAACTGTTATGAATGAAACTGCTTTGAACATTCATGTACAAGTTTTTTGTGAGTGTGTGTTTTGAATTCTTTTGGCTCCATACTTATGAGTAGAAGCTGTATCATATGAAAATTCTGTTTAAATTTTTGAGGAACCGCCAAACTGTTTTCCACAGCGGCTGCATCTTTTTACATTCCAGCCTCACCAACACTTGTTATTATCTGTTACATTATTATTATTATTATTATTATTGTTACTATAGCTCCTGTGTGTTTCAAGGGGAGTTTCATTATTGTTCTGATTTATGTTTCTTTAATGACTAACAATGTTAGCATCTTTTCATGTGTTTATTGACCATATGCATATTTCCTTTGGATAAAGTTATTCAAATCCTTTTCCCATTTTTAAATTGGTTGCTTTTTATTATTGAATTGCAAGAATTTTTAATGTATTCTGGCTGTTAGATCCTTATCAGATACATGAGCAAGGTTTAATATTTAGAAATAGAATTTAAGCTATATATTTTATTCTGAAAATAAAAGATTCATAGCTATATCAGTGAAGAAACATTGACTAAGATTATACCCATGAAATAGTAGTTATAACATATGATGCTTTCATATTTTTCAAATTCTCTGTGATAATTGAGCAGAGTTGTGCTACTGCGGGATAAATTTATTAGTATTTACCACACAGAATTTGTATTTTTGGGAAATTTTGGAGAGCTATAGAATTTGAGTACATAGTGAAAAAAAAATCAGTATTTTATAAGAACTCTATAATTACCCTACCTTATAATTTTCCTTGGAGTTTTATAAAGGTATATATCAGTTTTCCAGTCACAGGCCATACCATAATATATTCTAATAACAAAGTAATCTGTTTCCTGGGAACATCATCTGCTACCCCTTGAAGTTACAACATTATGTAGTATCTTCTGTCTCATACACTCAACACTCAAATAATCCACCCTTTCTTGAATATCCTCCCCCTGCAGCATCATCTCCTGTCCAATCTTTACAGTAGTGCCCTTTGAATTTTTTTTTTCACAATCACATGTCTTTTCATAGTCTGTACATTTTGAACAAAAAAATGTATTGTGTTAAAAAGAAGGTATGATGGCAAGGAAAATGTTTTAGCTCTTTAAAGATTTTCTCCAATATGTTTCCTTCTTTTTTGCCTTCTAGGAAATCATGAATGAGGCACTTGAAAGCCAGCATAGTGATCTATCTGACGAGATGCCTGAAGATACTCTAGCATTAGGTAAGAAATTAATTTGATCTTTGGATATTTATTGCTAATATAATTTAAATCAAAGTGTATATATCACAAAAGGAAAATGAGTAATTTGCTTTACATGGATTTCAATTTTTGTTAAGAAATAAATATGTATTTAACTATAGCTTCAATATATAGTATTTATTTTGTAATATTTCCAAAAAAAGACTTAGACTTTATTAAGAGTTTAAAACATTTCATGCTCTTTTACTCTTTTACCAACAACAACAAAAAGGTAGATCTTAATTACAAGATGTGGAAGGGTATTTTTGTTAAATATTGTGAACTGTGAGCTATTGGTCTCTTGTGTATTCAGTTGTGTGTGTGTATGTATGTGTGTTTCTGCATAATATGTAAAGAGAAAGTGTAATGGGAGACGAGGGATGAGAAATTAAGTTAGCATTAAATTTGAGAACTTATCTGAAATTATTAAGAAATATAAATAATGGAACATATTGTTCATACACCTTTTTTTTTAAACTTTTATTTAATGAATATAAATTTCCAAAGTACGACTTATGGATTACAATGGCTCCCCCCCCATACCGTCCCTACCACCCACAACCCTCCCCTTTCCCACTCCCTCTCCCCTTCCATTCACATCAAGATTCATTTTCGATTATCTTAATATACAGAAGATCAGCTTAGTATACATTAAGTAAGGATTTCAACAGTTTGCTCCCACACAGAAACATAAAGGGAAAAATAATAGATGATTTTTTTAAATGATGATGAAATCAGATCAGACCTATTGTCATGTTTAATCCCAGTGAGAGTCAAGTTGGGAGTTGATAATTTCTTTTCTTTTCTTTTTTCTTTTTTTTTTTTTTTTACAGAGGATCAGTTTAGTATGCGTTAAGTAAAGATTTCAACAGTTTGCACCCCCATAGAAACACAAAGTGAAATATACTGTTTGAGTACTCGTTATAGCATTAAATCTCAATGTACAGCACATTAAGGACAGAGATCCTACATGAGGAGTAAGTGCACAGTGACTCCTGTTGTTGACTTTACCAATTGACACTCCTGTCTATGGCATCAGTAATCTCCCTATGCTCCAGTCATGAGTTTCCAAGGCTATGGAAGCCCCTTGAGTTCTCCGACTCTTATCTTGTTTAGACAAGGTCATAGTCAAAGTGGAGGTTCTCTCCTCCCTTCAGAGAAAGGTACCTCCTTCTTTGAAGACCTGTTCTTTCCACTGGGATCTCACTCACAGAGATCTTTTTGCCAGAGTGTCTAGGCTTTCCATGCCTGAAATACTCTCATGGGCTTTTCAGCCAGATCCGAATGCCTTTAGGGCTGATTCTGAGGCCAGAGTGCTAATTAGGACATGTGCCATTCTATGAGTCTGCTGAGTATCTCGCTTCCATGTTGGATCACTCTCCCCTTTATTTATTCTATCGGTTAGTGTTAGCAGGTACTAGACTTGTTTATGTGCTCCCTTTGACTCTTAGTCCTTTCATTATGATCAATTGTGAACTGAAATTGATCACTTGGACTAGTGAGATGGCATTGGTACATGCCACCTGTAGTGTTTTTTTGGATTCAATCCTGTTAATTTCTTCTCTGGTTTTAATTATTTCTCTTCTCCTACTAGATTTGGGTTTGGTTTGCTGCAGTTTTTCTAGGTCCTTGAGATGTGCTGAAAGCTCATTTATTTGGTACCTTTCCAATTTCTTGATATAGGCACCTATTGCTATAAATTTGCCTCTCAATACTGCTTTTGCTGTATCCCATAAGTTTTGATATGTTGTTTTTTTGTCTTCATTTACTTCCAGAAAGTTTTTGATTTCTCTTTTGATTTCTTGAATGACCCAGTGTTCATTCAGGAGCATGTTGTTCAGTCTCCATGTGTTTGCATACTTTCTAGGGTTTCCTGAGTTGCTAATTTCCAGCTTCATTCCGCTGTGGTCTGAGAAGCTGCATGGTATGATTCTAATTCTTTTAAATTTGCTGAGACTTGCTTTATGGCCTAGTATGTGATCAATCCTAGAGAAGGTTCCATGCACTGCTGAGAAGAATGTGAAGTCTGTAGATGTAGGGTTGAAAGTTCTGTAGATATCTGTTAGATCCATTTGGGCAATAGTGTCGATTAAATCTGCTGTTTCCTTGTTGATCTTCTGCCCGGATGATCTGTCTGTTTCTGAGAGTGGAGTATTGAAGTCCCCCAGTACTATTGTATTGGAATCTAAATCTCCCTTTAAGTCCCTTAACATATCTTTTAAATAGACCGGTGCCCTGTAATTAGGTGCATATACATTTATAATAGTTACATCTTCCTGTCGAATTGAACCCTTAATCATTATATAGTGTCCCTCTTTGTCTCTCTTAACAGTTTTTGTATTAAAGTTTATTTTGTCTGATATTAATATGGCTACACCTGCTTTTTTTTGGTTTCTGTTGGCATGGAATATCTTTTTCCAACCTTTCACTTTCAGTCTGCATGCCTCTTTGTTAGAGAGATGTGTTTCTTGTAGGCAACAAATAGTTGGGTTGTGTTCTTTGAGCCAATCAGCCAAATGGTGTCTTTTAACTGAAGAATTCAGACCATTCACGTTTAATGTGACTATTGATACATAGTGACTTTGCCCTGCCATTTTCCCAGAGATATTTTCTAGTATATGCTTTGAGCTTCCCATGCTCTTTTACTGGTAGGTGTTCTTCCTTTCCCTTCTTTCATATTGATGGCCGTGTTTCTGTGTTTCTGAGTGTAGCACATCTTTAAGTATCTTTTGCAGGGCCGGTCGAGTGGCCACAAAGTCTTTCAATTTCTGTTTGCTATGAAAGGTCTTTATTTCACCTTCATTCACAAATGAGAGCTTAGCAGGATATAATATTCTGGGCTGGCAATTTTTCTCTCTTAGCACCTGTGCTATGTCTCGCCATTTCCTCCTAGCCTGTAGTGTTTCTGATGAGAAGTCTGCTGTGAGTCTGATTGGAGATCCTCTGAGAGTAATCTGACGTTTCTGTCTTGCACATTTTAGGATCTTTTCTTTATGTTTCACTGTGGTAAGTTTAATTACCACGTGTCGTGGTGAGGATCTCTTTTGGTCATGTTTATTGGGGGTTCTATGAGCTTCCTGTACTAGGATGTCTCTGTCCTTCTCCAAACCTGGAAAGTTCTCTGCTAGTATCTCACTAAAAAGGCCTTATAATCCTTCCTCTCTCTCCATGCCTTCAGGAACTCCTAGAACTCGAATGTTGGTTTTTTTAATAGTATCCTGTAGATTCCCAACAATATTTTTTAGATTTCTATTTTCTTCTTCTTTTCTTTGGTTTGACTGTATCCTTTCCTGTTCTCTGTCTTTTAAGTCTGATATTCTCTCTTCTGCTTCACCAATTCTGTTTTTAAGGCTCTCTAATGTGTTTGTCATTTGATCTATTGAGCTCTTCATTTCATTTTGATTTCTCTTCACTATCACACTTTCCTGTTCTACTAGTTTCTGCATTTCATTTTGATTCTTCCTTAAAATTTCATTTTCACAAGAGAGATTTTCAATCCTGTCCAATAAGGATTTCTGTAGTTCAAGGATTTGCTTTTGAAAACTTCTAAATGTTCTTATCATAAATTTTTTGAAATCCGTATCTTGCATTTCTTCTATCTCATCATCTTCATAATCTTGGTTTGGGGTGTTTTGTTTATTTAGAGGCATCATAGTGTCATCGTTGATCTTGTTCCCTCGATTTCTGTGTTTGTTGCTTGGCATAGTTAATTCTTCTTTCGTCACTGTGCATTTTGTTTTTTTTTTTTTAATTTTTTTTTTTTAATTTTATACTATGTCCGTGTTAAGTGGACTGCCTGCTGTTGGAGGAGCCTTGGAGGCTTGAGATGGGTGCAGCCTGAGAGCTCTGCTTGGTTCTTCCTGGTTAAGGGTGTGCAAAGGTGGCGCCCTCAGGTTATGCGTGGTAAATCTCTCTCTATTTATTTATTTTATTTATTCAGGGGGTAAGTAATACCGCATGGCACAGCTGTGCAGAATTGATGGTATTTAGCTTCCAGTCTCTGGCTTCTACCCAAAGAGTCTGTGTAGGCTCCTCTGGACTCCCACTGGGTTGCCTAGGCTACTGAATTGTAGTGACTCAGTTCCTTAGCTCTCCCCTGTTGATATGTAAATCCAGAGAGGGGGCCTGCTCTTTGTCTCTTGTGAATTCTTCAAGCCTTGCAGCCTTACAACCTTTGCAAGGTTAGGGGAAAGAGAAACCCCCAAGCTTTTTTTTTTTTCCTTCTTTCCGGTAGTGAGTTTGCTGCACTTTCCGGCCCCCCTCTAGATTCTGACCCCCGTTTCCCCACCAATGTCTCGGGTTATTGAGCTCACCTCCCCTTCCAGCGCCGATGTGTGGACTCGGAGCCCTGGCCGTCCCAACTCTCCCTGCTGGTGTCTGTGTGACATGCACTCCCCTTCCTGCACTGGCGCGCAGACCCTGCGGCTTCCACAGCACCCGCGGCTCCCGCGGCTCGGCTTCCACACAGTGGGCGACCTTGTTCTCCCAGTAGGTCCTCAGATTCACAGCCACTCGATCCAGAAGAGTTTCCTCTGCAATATTTTCCTGGTTCTTTTTTCTGAGGCTACCGTAACTCCCCTTTTATTAAACTAAATTTTCCCGGACTATTGGTGCGCGCCCTCACTATTCCGCCATCTTGGCTCCCGTTCATACACCTTTTTAAAAATCAAGAGATTCAGTTAGAAATCAAGTTAAAATGTAGTAATGTATAGTAATATAATTTTAAAACCTTGGATTTTTCAGGTGTGGAATAATGATTTATTCTTATAAAAAAATTTTTTTTTGACAGGCAGAGTGGACAGTGAGAGAGAGAGACAGAGAGAAAGGTCTTCCTTTGCCGTTGTTTCACCCTCCAATGGCCGCTGCGGCCGGCGCGCTGCGGCCGGCGCACTGCGCTGATCCGATGGCAGGAGCCAGGAGCCAGGTGCTTTTCCTGGTCTCCCATGGGGTGCAGGGCCCAAGCACTTGGGCCATCCTCCACT